CATAAGAAGACCTCATCTCCACAAAATATCAAAAAAAATTAGCTGGGCATGGGAGCACGTGCCTGTAGTCCAGTCACTCAGAGGGCTGAGATAGAAGGATCGCTTGAGCCCAGGAAGCCAAGGCTGCAATGAACTATAATCGTGCCACTGCCTTCCAACCTGGGTAACAGAGTGAGACTCTGACTCAAAAAAAAAAAAAAATTCTCCATCGTGCCAGACTGTGTCACATACAGTGAGTTGTTTCATGTCCTTGGCCCTGCCCAATGAGGGGAATATATATGCCTTCAGGGACTCAACTTGGATGACCACCAGCTACACCATGGTGCTGTCTCCTGGGTGGGGGCAGGCGCTCCCAATAGAATGTGAGCCCAGAACATAAATTCAGTTCAGTTGCAGGAAAATAAAATTACATTTCTTGCACATGACTTTGTCAATGGAGTGCGGCACTATTGTCTGGTGGAAAGAATTCAGTATTGGGAACAGGACTGCCATGGACATGTGTGCAGCACCTAAGGGAGCACAGGTTATATCACACACATCATAGACATGCATGTATATGAAGACAATGCTTTCAATAAATGAAAGTATCTTGAGAGAGAGGCCCCTTTTCCTAAGTTGAGCAAAGATACCATATGGACTAGAGGCAGCCCTACAGGGAATTTGAAAACCTTAGACTTATGCTCGTATTAGATAAGTCACTTAATTGCTATTATCACTTTCCCCATCTTTCAAAAGGGTATAAAGCAAACCTGCTGGAGGACTGGTAAGACAGCCAACAGGAAAGAAGATAAACACTAAAAAGAAAATGAATTATATATTTTTGAAAAATTGAATGCATAATACTTTAACATTTTTTAATTTGAAAGAAAGAAAGGTTGTGAGGTTAGACTGAGGTCCCCAAACTATCTCAGTTCACGAGCCCTTAGTGCCTCAGTAAAAGGCCTTTCATCGCAACCCCTAGGTCTGAAGAAATACTGAGTAGTTTTGCTATGACATAGTAAGATCCAAACAATGTAAGTATTTCTATGCTAAAAACTCAGTAATGTTTAAAAAATAATGCACATAAATGGAAAGAAAATATTTTTGTATTATTCTTAAATAATCACACTAATAGATGTGTGCCAGTCTAGCACAGCACAGATTTAATAAACACTGCCACCAGTGCTTCCTGTTCCACACTGAGTATCTAGAAGTACTTCCCTTTCACCAAAGTAACTTTCAAAAACCTAGCTTTCCAGTGATACATCATCTAAAGCAATGTAGCAATATGTAAAGCATATTTCTGATATTAAAATATGTAAACTACCCCAAATTATTACGTTGCCCAATGTCCAACATGCAAAGTTTCTGTTTCCCTCAAACTTTGTCCACTGACCCCTTGTAAGTTTGCTGTGGTATCTCACTTCCAGAGCACCTCTGTGCACTGTTTAAGACAAAGGAATTAGGACAATGAAATCCTGGACACATTGAAATGATTAGTGGTAAAGGTGTTTATAACAGCATAATACCCATGGTTCTGGAGAGCATAATTAAGTCAAAAGTCCAGCACTCAAAAGCCTGTTTATTTCCTCCTGGGCACTTGAGATAATGTCTTCAGAAACAGTTGGAAAATTCTGAGGTGCTATAAAAACGGTTATAGAATAAGCTGGTGCAAGAGCTGTCTACGAGAATGAAAGCTCCAAAAAGCCAGGGAGTATTGTGTCCTGAATGCCTAGAATAGTGCCTGGGATAGATGTCCATGAATTAAAGGTTGAGGGAAACATGGACTCATTTACATTTTGAACTCAGTGTTTTTAATAGACCTGCAGAGTTGACTGGGGTTTCTTTTTCTGGATTTTCTTGACTTGGTCAGTGAAATGAAACCTAAGCTATAGGGTAGATAGATACCTAAGCTATAGGTAGGTTAGAGATTACATATGTAAAAGTGCCTACTACACAGATGTGTTCAGGAGCTAGTTTAATTTTTAAATATGGAGGCAAAATATGATGATGGTGACAACATAAGCTTTGGAGTAGGACAAAGGTGGATTTGAATTGAATGGACAGTTACTACATTTCTCTGGGTCTGATTTTTTTATGCATAGTAACTAGGATAAACATTTATTATATATGGTTGCTGTGAGAGTTAAATGAGAAAATGTATGTGAAGCACTTAGTGAAATGTTTGGAATGCAGGAAGTATAAATAAGAGCTATTATCCTAGTAGGTGATTTTCACTTTACTGGACTCATTCTCTCAATGGAGATGAATTTCAAAGTAGATGAATAGAACTGCACATTAAATACTCCAGGTACATGCTGCCTTAGGACTAGCTCTACCACTAGAAATCTACTTCTTTCCTTTGAGTCTTTGCTCTAATTTACCTTCTCAATGAGACCTACAGGGACCTTCGTGTTTATAATTGTACACCTTCATACTCCTTACCCCGATCAGTTTTTTCTCCTAGCACTTACCACCTTCTAAAATACTACTTTCTAAGTTTTTTCTTTTCAATCTGCCCTCACAAGAACATAAACTCGAGGAGGGTAGAGATTTTCATCTGTTTTGTTCAGTGATCTAACAGTGCCCAACACAGGACAGGCGTTCAACAAACAAATATCTGTAGAATTGAATTTAATTGATTTGGTTTGAATATAGTCCCACTGAATTTTATACTTTTTAGTTTGAGTCCATTTAGTTTGTCACCTGACTTTGAGAAATAACTACCTTTTTTCATGTGGCATCTTTAAATGTGACCGATCACCCATATACCACACAGCATTCATAGTCCAGTTCAATTACTAGCTATGTAAACTTTGACAATTTTCTTAGCCTCTCTGTGTCTAGGTTGTCATCTATATATGAGCATAAAAGCCATCTCTACTCCATAAAACTGTGGTGAGGATTCAAAGAGGTAATATATATGAAGTGCCTACAGCAGTCCCTGGCACACATTCAACAAATATTAGCTATTATGATTCTATTTGCAGCCAAGTCCAGGACCTTCTCCTCTCAATCCTGTTCTGAATTTCTTTTGCTCCCCTACTGGGGTCTTCATTCTCTCCTGCCTCACCCCTTCTTCCATTTCCCACTCACATCTACCCATCAGTTCTGACACTGATGTCAAGGCTTCTTCACAGCCAACTCTCCTCTTTCCTCCACTAACTTTTGGTTTGTTTTTTGGTTGGCATTTACCATTTCATCCAAACTGCTGTCAGAAACTTCAGCTAACTCCCTGACTAACCTGCGCCTGTTCTAAAGCTTTCGTGTTTTAATAGTGTGATTCTAAGGAAGCATCCCATGGAAACAAGAGAGAAACATTTTTCATGAGTTTCTTTATTTGGCCTTAATCAAGACTATTTTAATACTGTCTTTTATCACATAACTTACTCTGCTTCCCTTTAAGTTTCATTTTGTTTTGCTTTAGGTATGGCCTCCTTAACATCTTGTGCTTGTACTATTTTAAAGAGAAAATAATTTTAGACCTTGTAAAACTATTTTGTTTGTCTTGAAATTAATTTAAAAATTCCCTAATATGTATGTGCTCTTCGAATTTCATTCTGAGGCCAGAGGAAAAGAAAACATCCTATTCCCTGGATGGGCTGTGCCATGTTATCTGGGGCTGTGAAGTCTGCCTTGCCTCATGCCACCAGTCTCAGGGGAAGGAAACTGCCAGAGAACTTGGCTAAAAGTGGGGGGCAAAAGGTCCAAAGGATTAAATTTCCAGCTCCCAAAATAACCTGAGTACTCCTGCCACCTCCAAATCAGGCCCTGCACACTTCTTAGTGCTGGCAGAGTGCCACCTCTCTGGCCTGATTTCGGGGTGGGGGGCCTGAAAAGCGGAGGGTATCCCCTCCTTCTCCACAAGACAGCTCCCTAGAGAGGCTGGGAAGTCACCTGAATTAAGGGCAGACATGAAAGATGCATTTTTCTCTTTTCTTACACTCCTATCTTTCTTCTCCTTCCTTTATTGCTTCTCTTCTGTCGTCTTCTCCACCTGTCTCCTCCAGGCTCCTGGAAATTGAGTAGCACTGTAATTTGAGTAGCCCTGTCATGATGTTCCCACACCCCCACTATATTGAAATCGCACCTGTACCATTTGTTAGCTCACCTTTTCACTTAAAATGTTGAAGTCTAGCTGTTAGGATATAGCAATGCGTTACATTTAAAACGAATTTCCCTGCCCTAAATTAAGTTTCCTGATAAATATAATGAAAACAAAAACATGTAGTAATGGAATTTCAGTTGGATATGACTTTGCGCTGGAATCCTGACGTTCGGTGAAGAAATGCTAGCAGCCAAGTGGCCTCGATCCTTGAACTAGAGTCATGGAAAGAGGTCCGAAAAGAGAGCAATGTTCTGTTATTTATTTCGATGGCTTTACGGGTACAAATCTTATGTTTTCATGCCATGTCTGCATATCCCTTCAGCGTATTCCACTTTGGGGCACAGTTTTGAGTTTAAGACTCAAAAAAGGTAAATAAATGTAAATAAAGGTTTCATCCCCTTTCCTTCGAGCACTGAACAGTTTGCTAACACACTAAAACGTTTTGCGCACTTTTTTCCTCATTATCTGTGCGCAGCTTCTGACCAACTACTGAAGAACGTTTCGGTCAGGACTAATTCCTGTGAGTGACAGAGTTGTGACCACTGAGCGGATCTTTGGATGTCCTCGGCCCAAATCTGGACCCATCTCCACCTTTCCCGAAGAGGGAATTAGGCTTCGGGGCCGAGGGCGACGCGCCCAAGGTCACAAGGCACAAGGTGCCAGCCGCCGGGAGAGCGAGCGGGCGGTCCCTCGGGACCCTGGGAAAGGTTGCGGCCAGCAGATGCCAAACTTCTCGCCTCTCCGGTGTTGACCGCGGTTGCCACGGCAGCGGCGCATTGTTCCCGCCTCGCCCGTGTGACGTCAGCTGCTGACGCCCAATGGGAGTGCAGCGCGGCGTCACGCTCCGCCCTCCCGGGCGGGCACCGCCTCCTGCGCCGGGAGAGAGG